TGCTCTATTTATTATTAAAGGGGATGTATTTGAAAATGAAAATATGTGTACCATCTGTTACTTGTTCTGTTTATTTTTGCTCATTTCCTCCGGGCGCGGCTGACCTCAGCAGCAGCGCCGTCACCGGGACGTAACGCTGGAGGTGATCTTTAAATCTTTGAGCGACACGCGGACAGGCCGTAAACAGGGAAGGCGTAGGCAAAGCGCTGCGACGGGTGAGGGTGAGGGTGGGGGGGGGGCAGCCGCTGGGCGTCGAGTGCTGTGCTACCCATTGTAGCGAGCCTGCAATAGAGCTAATAACTTCACAGTTTTTCCAATTTTTAGCAGATGATACCTTAAATAGCTTTTGACTGAACATAAAGAATATATAAGTAACTTTAAGGTGACAGCTAGCTTGTACTCTCGATAAGGGAAGAAAACCAAAGCGCATGACGTCACCCAGATGTATAAAGGGCGCGAGAAGTCGCCGGCCCGCCCGCCGCCCGTTCCCACCAACAATACCCAACAATACTGAGCCACGGATGCCGGCCGGCCTGCCTGCTGCCCCCTATCTCTTCCTCTATGCCATGCGGCTGCGGCTAGTCCGTTGAATTGCAAGAAAGCAATTGCTAAAAGTAACAAACAGCCATAAACAATTAACAGCAAAATATGAGAGAAAATTAGAGCAAAGACATATCCTTAAATTTGTATCATCTGCTTTCACGATACGTCCCTCGACGTAGCTTTTTTTTAAAAAAAGTTAATAGTTTATGTATATACATTTTTGTTGAAGCATGGCATAGCGTAGTGGACGCTTTTGCTTCACCCTCATCAGCGGAGCCTTGGCGGCGAACATCATGTGGTGTGACGTCTGACCCTCCTGTCCGCCTTAGCTCCTCCCGCACCTCACCTCACCCCCGCCCCTCTCGCTCCGCCTGATCTCCTATAAAGTGACATCGAGATAAGAGCATGGTAACGGAGCTTCCGCGCGGCCAGATAGATTTACGCGACAGTCCGTCACGACACTTCAATTTTTATGCGTTACGTTTACATGATAAAGGCGATGTGTGCGAGTGGATGTGTGTGTGCGTGTGTTGCGCGGTCGGCCAGCAGTAAAATGCGAATGTCTTTTTAAAAGGCCTGTGTGCTGCGCTGCTGGAGCAGCTGAATCTAAATCTGAAACCGCAGCTTTTTCCAAAACGTTAAGCAACAAGGAGACGGACGGACGACGGGCATGCTTGCTGAGCTGACTGAGAGGAAATTCTTTCTCGCAAAGTCACCACCATCCGCCACCACCACGGGCGCGGGCGCGCGCGCTTATTTCGGCATCCTGTTCGAAACAAGGACACGACACTCTTGGGCTCCGTCCGATCGGCGATCTTGACGTGGTGTCGGCCAAGTATGACGGCGCGCGCCAGGCGAGCTATCTCCCTCGCCTCGCATGACAGTGTCGTGCGCCATCTCTCTCCCTCCCCCCTCCCTCGTTCGCTCTCAGATTCATACTCAACATAAGGTCCTTCCCTTCTCCATGATATTCTTTCCCTTCGGTAGCTTCCCTCTTTTTCTACCTTCACGTACTTATCCGCAACTTATCCGATGCTATCTCCACCTCAACTCAACTTTTTCCCACTTCGAACACTGACTTTTAACTGCAGCGATCGATCGCTACGAAATAAATGTTCAAGTATATAGCGAAAATTATAGCGGCTGTCGTAAAAAATGTTGAACTGAACAAATTATCCGATGAATTCAGACGATTTTCTGGTTGGTATGCGTTCATGTGGCACACGCGATTGGGGGTTGTGATGTCTACTCTGACGGGCGCTATGGTAGGAGCACTCAGTAAGCATCCCCTGCACACAAGAGAGAGATAGATAGAGAGAGAGGCACAGAGAAAGAGATGAGGAAGAATGCCGCGC